GGCGGGGACAGCCTCCGGCTCTGCTGCTCTCGTCGTTTTTGGCACTTGTCGCTTGCTCTCCGTTTGGCACCAGCACAAAGAACCCCCATCCCCAACTTGGCAGAAACACAGGCCCTGTGGCGCAGCAGGGACGGGACTCCAGGACTCTGGTGCCGGCGCTGTGCAGCCAGAGAGAAATATGTAAACGAGCTTGTTCCCGAAGGCAAAGACGGACAGCGTGGAAGGGCCCGGCTGTTCCTGGCATGTGGGGCCAGCAGGCTTTCCCTTGGCACACTGGTCCCAAATGGCATGTAAACATGTCAGCAGGCCCTTCCCTCCCCGTCCCCGGGGGGAAGGGCGGCAGCGAGCCTGCCTCGTTGGGGCTGTGCTGGGGGCAGGCAGCCCCTGCCAGGCCCACGACACCCCCGTCACCCAGCCCTACTGTTCTCTCCATGCTCTCCCTGCTGACTCGGGGACGTAGCCAAGAGGCCGTGGCCTCCCGGGGGCCCGGAGGACAGCGGCACAAGTCCTCTCCTGTAAACACATCAGGCTGGGCTGCAGTAAGAAGCTACGGCAGTGTGGTAGTAAGGCAGTAAGGAGCGTGCTGTCACACAGCCCCAAAAGCACCACGGGGGGCAGCCGAGCAGAGGCACCACGCTCGGCAGGTGAAAAGGAGCGTGCCGGCCCCACAAGCCGGTTGCCCCTGGCCCAAGGCTGGGGTAGGCACAGAGGAGTGTCACCTTGCTGCAGGACCAGTGGGAACCTGGACCCAGGCCCCCGGCTGAGCAGAAAAACCAACAGGGTGGCCTGAATTTCCAGAGAGGGCAAAGCACTGTTTATCTGTCTCCCAAAATCCAGGCCACTCTGAGCTGGGGTCCTCTGCCAGTCAGAGAGTGCAGGGATGTGAGCATATGTATGCAGAGCCCACAGGGAATCAGCTAGGTACAATTCTGTGGGCAATGCTGGACCCCGAGACTGGAGACACATCATGTTCCTGTGGATGCTAATCCTCCACAGGGCAAGCACAGGCTCTGGGAACAGCCTAGTCTGCTGCTGAGCAGGGCTAGGGTCATCCAGCGCCTTGCCTGGACCCACAAACCAACAGAAGTTTGCTCTCTAACACGCAGGTTAAAGAGCACAACATACAGCGGGTAAAACACAGTGCTCATTTGCTGAGCGGAGAAAACCAGTGCTTATAAGAGTGGGACCATCCTGGTACAGGATGGGACTGAGCAGCAAAGCTTGTTTCCTCCCCCAGTGGGTCCCTAGCGCCGAATTTGCTGCCCCACTCGCTTGTGCTCTTGCTGGCACAAAGCCCCAGCTCATGGATGGGGGGCAGCCCCAAGGGGGTCCCACAGGAGGGCAGGGGGAGGCCTGGCTGCGGGGCCAGCACAGCCACAGGGGGTGGAGGGATGCCAGGCAGGAGGACGGCACCGAGACATGTGTGGAGCTGCACAGTGAGAGGGCGAAAGGGGCAGTGGGGCCAGCTGCCCCACAATGGGCATGGGACGAAGCAGCGCTGGCAAAGCCGTAAGGGCTGCCTGGCACTGTCTCTCCAGTCCACTGGTGTCGCAGTACCTGGTACCCCCAGGGAAGCTGGCAAAGGGCTGTTGGTGAAACAAATGCTCCAGGTCCTGGGAACAGACCATCCGTAAAAATAACCATAGAAATTTCTCTTCTCTCTGATTACAAAGATACAAAAAGGTAGAAAACCCTCCCCCGCCCCCATGTCCTGGGCTCCGTTTCCGTCCCCCTGCCCCTGCCCACCCTCCACGCACACACACACGCACACCCTGTGTACAAACGTGTCGCAGAGGAAGAGTTCGTCCCCAGGGGGTCAGAGACACCACCCTCACCCGAGCAGGCTCCTGCCGTACCTGTCATGCCAGGCAGACAATGGGGAGCAGGCAGCAGCCAAGAGCCCGAACGCTCTCGGCCGTGGGGGGGGCG